AAGGCAAGGCAAGGCAAGGCAACACACCACACCACACCACAACACAACGCACCACACCACACCACACCACACCACACCACAACACAACACAACACAACACAACACACCACACCACACCACAACACAACACAACACAACACAACACAACACAACACAACAACACACCACACCACAGCACAGCACAGCAAACCACACCATAACACAACACAACACAGCACAACACAACTCAACACAGCATAACACAACTCAACACATCACAACACAGCACACGCACCATCCCATACAACACACACACGCACACATCACCACACACGCACACGCACACACACACACAACAGCAACAACACCTCCCGCCCCCACAGACGTGGCGATGGCTCACGGCGGTTCTGGCAGGTGCCGACGGCCTAGACGAGGGCGGGGCCTGCCTGGAAGCGGCAGGAAGAGCTCGGCGAGCCCTCCGTCCGTCGACGGGGGGCCCCCTGGAGCTGCCTGGAGGACTTCCCGGTACTCTTGTGGGCCATCTCGGGGGCGCACTCGTCCGACTTTGGGGGGCGTTTTCCCTGGGCCAGCTTGGGCCGTCTTGGTTCTGCCTTGGGCCGTCTTGATGTTTGGGACTCCTTGGCCGTCCTGGGTGCCTCCTTTGGGGGCCGTATTGGTCATGTTGCAGCCTTCTGTGGTTATCTTGGCGTCCTCTTGGGCCGTTTTGGGCCTCCCTGGAGGCGGTATTGAGATACTCGTGGATGGCCTCTGGGGACGACCGTCTTGGGTCGACCTGGACCCTGCTTGAGCCCGTGATGAAACCTACAACTCTGCCGAGGTCCTCTTGAAGCATCTGAAGTTGAAGCGCCCGGTGGGCCCAAACCTTGGGAACAACACTTATCATCTCTCAGTTTCCTTCGGAACTCGTGGGCGCCTCGGGAGGCCTCTTGTGGAGGTTGTTTGAGGCCTCTTGGGCCTGTCTTGGAGTGATGTGTTGCCCCCCCCCCCTGCCCCAGGTACCGTCCCGACTGAACTGTATATGACGTCTTCGATTCTGCCCCCCGCTTTCCTCTCGCCTCCCTCGCCGCTCCGTCCTCTCTCCTCCCCTGTCGTCGTCCTCACAGGGAGGAGGAGGAGGAGGAGGAGGAGGAGGAGGAGGAGGAGGAGGAGGAGGATTGGTTTTGCTGCGGGCCACTGCATGACAGGCTGCACAAAGTGACTGGCAAGCAGGCTCGGGACACCTCCTATGACATTGACGATGAACTTCGTGATGAACAAGTGTACACCATAACTTGCCACATTTGTTGAACTCATCGGGTGGGACAGCCTCCCCTCCAGCAGGTGCACAGTCATCTGAGGCTCGGGGAAATAGAAGTCCTCGACACGACGACTCGGAAGACCCTGGTCGGAAACGTCCTCCAGGGTGCAATCGCCATTTCCATCTCCTTCATGTGTGCTGGCTGGCTCAGGCATGGTAGTTGCATCCATACACACTCCAGCAGGCTGCAACGTGGCGGAAACCACAATCGACACCTCCTCTGGATCCTTCTGCTTCTTCCTCATGTTATTATTGTTGCGGCGATTGCGCTGGCGTGCCTTTCTGTCACCGCCATCCGCGTCATCAGCCCCCCCAGCGCGGCAGACTGGATGATCCAACTCCTCGTCGTCCATGCCAATGCAGGAGGCCCCCCGAGGCTTTGGCTCCCGCGTGGAGGAGGTTGCGGCACCCGAGGCTGCGGCGGCGGCGGCGGTGGCATCATCGCCACCGTGCTCCTCGTGCACTGGCGGCGGTGTCGGCACGCGCGTCTGCACAGCCTCCGCCAACGCCTTCGAAGGGGGGCCCCTGGAGGTCACGCTCGGCACCTCGAGCACTCCGGGAGGCGGCGGCGCAGACGGCCTCGCGGCCACCACGGTCGTCAAGCTTCTCTGCAGCCCGGGCGCGCGCGCGCGTGCGCCTCTCTTTTTTTTTGATGGGCTTCCCCCTTCAGCTGGTGCTTCTGCCTCGTCTTGTCCCGATGCTGGCCCTTCGCGATGAGCTCCCTCCCGCCGTACCGCTCGCACTGCGGCTGCTGCTGCCTGGTCGTCTTGGAGCGGAGGTTCGATGCGGGCCATGGCGGCACTGGCAGCATAGGCTGAGGCGGCATCAGCGCCTCCGTACCGCTGGCCCAGCGCAGCCCACGGAGAGGTGAAGGAGGGCGTACGATGCGCTGGAATTGACCTTGCACCTTCAAGAGAAGACAACGAGTCCCCCACGCATAACGGCTGCTCTCCTGGCATCGATAATAACGCTGTCATGGTCTCCACGAAGACTGTTGACTCGCTCGAACTAAGAAGTCGAGGCCAAGTGCTGCGGAATGAAAGATCGCATGGGCCAGGTAGACGAGCTCTGAAACCTGGGCGCTGAGCAGCAACTCCCTCAGGCCGTCGAGGGAGATGACAGCCTACGAAGAGGAGGGGGAGGAGGAGGGGGAGGAGGAGGGGGAGGAGGAGGAGGAGGAGGAGGCGGAGGAGGAGGAAGGAGGAGGAAGAGGGGGGTGGGAGGGGGAGGGGGAGGGGGAGGGGGAGGAAGAGGGGGAGGGGGAGGAGGAGGAGGGGTAGGAGGGGGAGGAGGGGGAGGAGGAGGAGGAGGGGTAGGAGGGGGAGGAGGAGGAGGTATAGGCCCATAAGCGGCCGAGGGAGCGGCGCCTCGGTGGGCACGGCAGGTTGGGCTCTCCGTCCCCTCGACGGGGCGGCTCTCGAGGGGGGGTGGGCTCGCCGGAGTTCACCAGCCTCGAACCTATCCCTATCCCTAAGATTGACACGCCAAAAGGCGATGACAATCTTAGGGATTCGCCCTCAAAAAATAAGGACAACCCTAAGATTGGCATCGTGATGAGGCGATGCCCAACATAGGGATAGGGAGATGTTCCAGGCTGGTAAGGAGTCCGATCCATGCGGCAGGTTCTAGTCTTTAAGTCGGGCCTGCCCCTCTACAGGGGGAATACGCAAACACAGTCAAAACATGGTCTGGGGACTAGTTTGTGACCATTTTTGATTTTTTTTGGGCATTGTTTGGGTATCTGTTCTTTTTCGTCCAACATCCCCCTGCAGGGGGACAGGCCCGACCTAATTCTAGTCGGCTCGACTGATGGACAACATCCTGCACCTTGCATGTTCTCCAAATAGGCTTGCCCTATCGGAGCTCTAACTCAGACCCTACTAATGGGTCCGTTGCCCCCCCCCCTAATTCCGATGCCACCCCCAGGTCCTATGGCTATGCCCAATTCCTATGCCCCCCCCAGTACAGTGGACTGGAGTGTGCGCGTGTGGAAAACAGGACCGTCCTCATCGTCATCATCATCGTCATCATCATCGTCATCATCACCCGCTATCTACTTGGAGTCAACGCTGGCTGATGTTGATTTGTGTGAACACTCCCCACGCCACTAATTTGATGCTGGCGGGCTGCGCAGCGATATGTCAATCTGTCGACTGGCCAGAATCCTGCGCCCCGCCGGCCATGCCAACCAGCATTCACTCGGGGGCAGGTGGGCGCGCTGAAGTCTGCGCCGGCACCCTGGTCGCGCTGGTGGTGCAGAGTTTTTGTCTCTCAACCGCTCGGGTTCAGGCATTTCCTGGCGGTCCCAAGCTTCAGCCGTTTCTGACAGTCACCGTCCAGGGTTCAGGCATCTCTCTGATCGGCAGCGAGCGAGGTCGGAACATGAGAAGGAGAAGGCCTTCTCAAAAGTTGGCGGGACTTCTCAGAAACCCCTCGCGCCTTCTCATAAGTTTGTTGCGTCTTCGGGGAAGGCTCAGAAAACTTCTCAGAAGGCCAGGGGACTTCCGAGCTTTCTTAGAAATCCTTTTCCTTATCACTTCCCCCCCGTTCGCCGCCAAGTCTTGCTCTTGCAGTTTCCCCACCATTGTTTGCGGTTGGAGGAAGAGCTTGAGTTTCAGGACCATTCGAGCACGCTGACCTCAGCCATACCGCTGTTCGATCGATCGACCTCGTCTTTCCTCTTCTCTCCCTCCTTCCTTCGGAGGTTTATAGACCTCCCACTTCCTGCGAGAGGGCGTCGCGGCCGTTATTTTCTTGCGGGTCCAGGTCCGTCGGTTTCGGTCCTAGGCCGTTTTCACTACAGGGCGGTTTGCGACAGGAGGGCTCGTCCGCCGCCGATGCCTCCCTCCCCGGCCCCCGCTCTCGGGCGGTGGTCGCGGACGGACCCCCGCTCCGCAACACCCTGGAGGAGGAGGAGGAGGAGGAGGAGGAGGAGGAGGAGGAGGAGGAGGAGGAGGAGGAGGAGGCCCCCCCCCCCCGGGAGAAGGACGGGGGGCGACACGAGTGGGCCGAGAGGCGCGCCGCGAGCCGCTGCCGCCCCCCGCGCCGCCGCGCGCGGGGGCCCCGCCCCGCTGGCGGGCGCTGCCGGCAGGAGCCCTTCTCGGCGCCGCGGGTCGCCTTTCGGGGGGGTGGGGAGGGTGTCGTCTGCAGATTGGTCGTCGTCCTCCTCCCCCTCCCCTCCCCCCTCACCGCGCGCGTTCCACGACTCGCGGAGTGCCTACTCGCAAACGTCCGAAACACACAACGCACACATGTCTGCTCTGAGGTCATTTATCGTCGATCCCCCGCGGCGGATCCGGGCCATGTGCAAGTAGCTACTCTGCGAGTCGTGGAACGCGCTCGTCTGTGTAGATTGGTCGTCGTCCTCCTCCTCCCCCCCCCCTCCCCCCCCGAGGTTTTCTCCGGCGTCGAGGCGCCACCCCAGCGGGCCTTCTTTTTTGGGGGGGGGCAGTCCAGGCACAGGGCTGACCACCACCGTCGGCACTCCGAAGCGCGATTGCAGAGGAGGGCCCCTCTGCGCCCCGACGGATGCAGGCGTCCTCCTCCTCCTCCTCCTCCTCCTCCTCCTCCTCCTCCTCCTCCTCCTCCTCCCTCCTCCTCCTCCTCCTCCTCCTCCTCCTCCCCCCCCTCCTCCCCCCCTCTCCAGCTCCCCAGGACGGGCGGGCGGCACCCTTCCCGCCGCGCGCGCAGAGCAGCGGGCGAGGGGCCCGCCGGCCTTCGGGCCGCGGGCGAGGAGGATTCCACGGGCGACGTCGCCGGGGACGAGTATGACACTTTTGAGATGCCGTCCGCCGAGGTGCCCTGCTACGCAGAGGAGGGTCGAAGATCGAATTTCGAGATGCGAGGGTCGAGGATCGAGGATCGAGGTCGTCGTCGTCGTCGTCGTCGTCGTCGTCGTCGTCGTCGTCGTCGTCGTCGTCTTCGTCGTCATCGTCGTCGTCGCTGTCGCTGTCGCCGGCGTCGCCGGCGTCGCCGTTTTGGAGGTTTTTGAGCCTTCTGGAGGGTTTTCGTCGCCAGAGCTGGGCGCGGCGGCTCGAACACCCAGGCAGGATGGATCCCAGGAAGGGGCCTCGGGGGGGGGAGGTGGCTCCAGGAGGCCATTGGGGATTTTCCGGGGGAGGATGAGGATGAGGATAATGAGGAGGGGGGGGGGGAGGAGGGGGAGGAGGAGGAGAGGGATGAGGAGGAGGAGGAGGAGGAGGAGGAGGAGGAGGAGGAGGAGGAGGAGGACGAGGAGGAGGGAGGAGGAGGAGGAGGAGAGGAGGAGGAGGATAAGGAGGAGGAGGAGGAGGAAGAGGGAGGGAGAGGAGGAGGAGGAAGGAGGAGGAGGATATGAGGAGAGGAGGAGGGGAGGAGGAGGAGGGGAGGAGGAGGAGCAGGAGGAGGCGGAAGAGGAAGAGGAGGAGGAGGAGCAGGAGGAGGCGGAAGAGGAAGAGGAGGAGGAGAAGGAGGAGGAGGGGGAGGAGGAGGGGGAGGAGGAGGAGGAGGAGGAGGAGGATGAGAAGCGGGTGATGGGCTTCCCTCCTTGGCCGCCCAGCGTCCGCGGTGGCGGGCGAGCGCGGTGGAGGGTAGCGGCCCGAGGTGCGTCGCGCGGCGGCTGCGGCAGGCAGTGGTGAGGGTTGCGATGATGAGTGTCAGTAACGTTTATTCGATCCCTATCCCCATTCCCATCCCCTTCGAGACCCCCAACAGATTACCACCCCAGTTGGGGATATACCCCTCGAAGCCCGAAGGGAACGGCCCATATCCCCATCTAGGGGGGTACATCGGCCAGTGGGGCGCAAGCCACGCCGCTGGGGATGGGGGTCGGATAAACGATTCTCATAGGGCAGCAACATGCTTATGCGTCTGATGCTGGTGCGGAGCAGGGTGATGTGAATGAGGACGAGGATGAGGATGAGGATGCTGACGATGATGATGATGATGTTGCTGCTGCTGATGATGATGCTGAGCATGATGCTGAATATGATGATGATGCTGCTAATGATGATGATGCTGCTGGTGATGATGATGATGCTGCTGATGATGATGCTGCTGCTCATGATGATGCATATGGTGATGATGATGATGCTGATGATGGTGATGATGGTGGTGGTGATGATGGTGATGATGATGATGAAGCTGATGCTCATGATGATGTTGGTGATGGAATGATAATGATGCTGGTGATGCTGATGTTGCTGCTGATGATGATGATGAGTATGATGATGGTTGTGGTGATGATGTTGGGGGTTGTATGTGATTATGCATGCTGGTGATGGTGATGCTGATGTCGATCATGATGATGGTGACCAGGTGTGATGATGGTACGACTGATGAGGATGATGTGGAGGACGAGAAGGACGATCAGGATTGTGATCATCAAGTCGGCGACGTGGAGCAAGAGCACTTGAGCGATGATCATGGTTGCGATGATGATGCTAATGCTGATGAAGACGACGATGATGCTAATGATGATGATGATGATGATGATGATGATGATGATGATGATGATGATGATGATGATGACGATGTTGACGGTGATTCTGCTGATGATGCTGCTGATGATGTTGATAACGATGATGCTGATGATGATGCTGATGGTGATGGTGATGGTGATGATGATGATTGTGATGATGATGATGATGATGATGATGATGATGATGATGATGATGATGATGATGCTGATGCTGATGCTGATGCTGATGCTGATGATGCTGATGCTGATGCTGATGCTGATGCTGATGATGGTAATTATGACAATGCTGCTGATTATGATGATCGGTGGTGGTGATGATGGATTCTGATGGTGGTGGTGGTGATGGTGGTGATAAGAAAGGGGGAGAGACGGAGGAGGCTGCGGGAGGAGGAAGCAGGATGGGGCCAGCGCCACTGTCTGCAGAAGCTGGCTACCGAGGTGCTGGACGCGTGGGAGCAGGACGAGGTCTCGAGTCCCCCACATCCAACCCTCCTCCTTCTCCTCCTCCTCCTCCTCCTCCTCCACCCCTCCTCCACCGCCCCTCCGCCCCATCATGCCCCCCTCCCTCATCCCCTCCACCCTGCCTGCCTTCCCCTCTCTTCTCGTATCCTCTCGCTGCCTTGGTACGTTTTGAGTTCCGTCCCTTACCCTGGCTCCTGGAAGCTCCAGGGGCCCCGGATGCCAAGCATAAAAGATTGTCCAACCGTTCGATCCCTCTGATGCCGAGGGCAAAACCTGGGAAGGAGAGGGCGGGTGCGACGGGATTGGTGGGTGTCAGAAGCGTGATCCCAAGAGGTCGCGACCGAGATCTTTAAGAACTTCCAGCAGGAGGGTCTAGAGGGTACCACGCAGTTGGGGTTCAGGGACGTGGCCACCCTGCTCGAGGTCCTGGGCGTGGAGCGCGAGCAGTTTGTGGAGATCTTCACGGAGGACGTTATCCAAGAGGTGGCGTCGCGTCCGTGCCTTTCTCCTGCTCGTCCTCCTCCTCCCTCCCTCCCTCCCTCTCTCCCTCCCCCTTCTCCTCCTCCTCCTCCTCATCCTTCTCCTCTCCCTCCTCCTCCTCTCCCTCCTCCTCCTCCTCCTTTCCTCCTGCCCTCCTCCCTCCCCTCCTCTCCCTCCTCCCTCCTCCTTGCTTGTCCAGGTGCCGGCCCGTCAGGGGTGGCAGTGGGGTGCGCTCCCCTGGAGCGCGGCCCCCCTGTCCAGGCCAGCCTTAAGTCGGGCCTGTCCCTCTGCATTTCAAAATAGTCAACAACTAATCATAAAAATAGTCCGGGGACGAGTTTTGGAGTATTTCTGGACCAGTTTGGAGTATTTTTAGGGTATTTCTAATTCTTAGTCAAAAAATAAGCAAAAAACGGTCTGGGGACGACTTTTGGAGGAATTCTGGACCAGTTTGGGATATTTTTAGGGTACTTTGCAAAATTTGTCGTCCAAAATCCCCCTGTAGGGGGAACGGGCCCGATCTAAGGCTAGCCCCACACGCGCCGCGCGGCCGCCCGCCACAGCAGCCGCCGCCGCGCCTATTGCCGCGGTCTCCGCCCCTCGCCATCGCACGCGCCAGCGCGGGCCAGAGCCTGCCTGGCATGGGCGCTGGAGAGATCAAGCAATGACGGAGCGTCCTGGCGTGCCACTAGGCCTGCCAAACAGTGTTCTAAGAGCCTTTTGTGGTTTCCACGAGAAATTCTAAGAACGTTTCTGGCTGCTGGGACTGTCTTGCTTTGACACATCGGGTTCATGTTCTAAGAACATTGTCTTTGTTCTTAGAGCATGTTTGGGGTTCTAAGAACATGCCGTGGTAGGCTTATAGGAATGCCGGGACGGTCGGTCCCTGCTAAAAGAGGACGGCGGGTTCAAGCGCGAACGCTTGTGAGGTTATCAGCAGGCAGCGGCTTTCTGCAGGCTTACCACGGCGCCATGTCTCGACCTTGGCATCGATGCCCGTCGGTCTCGGGCGCCTCCCAGCGTTCCCCTTGCATCGGAGCAGCAGTGGCAGTGCAGTCAGTGTGGCACCCGCAATTGGCCGAATGCGCGCATGCGTGCCTTGTGCTTCCCACCGCAGCCGCCGGCCCGTGGACGTGGAGGGAAGTCACGACAAAGGTCCCAGTCCCGCAGGCAGCCGCCCGACCAATCCCAAGCGGAGCAGTCTCAAGCAGTATCGGGTGGTCGGGGTGGCGGTCAATCCCAGCAACCTGGAGTGACGGAGTTGCCAGGCTTCCCGTTCGGCATGTCGCTTGCGATGCCGACCGCGGCCCAGTCTCATCCTGCTTGGTTGGAGCCGCCCACGGATGCCAAGGACCTCCCCGGACATCGTGCACAGCTCAAGAATAGTTTAGAGGCGCTCGAGTGCCAGATCAAATCTCAGCAAGCCCTGAAGTGCAGCCAGTCCAGACTGCAGGAGTTGGCATAATAATCTTCAGTTTTGCTGTACACGATCGTGCACGCGTAGCCCGCCAAGAATCGAGTGCAAAACCAAAGCCGATACATCTAACGGGCCAAGAAGCGAGTTGCAGACGCCATCGCCTCGGAGGAGGCCGCCAACACGGTGCTTGCATCTGCCGCAGCCTCGAGATCAGCCCGTTTTCCAGGAGGACCTCGACGAGGCGCGGGCGCTCCAGGAGGCATCCGAAGACCGTGCAGGAGATCGAGGAGGCAGAGCGCGCTGCCCGGGCGCAGCACGAAGCGGCGGCTGCCGACGAGGAAGCCCACGCTGGCCAGCATGGCAGACACAGAGGCCCAGTCCCTTCGTGGAGGTGGACAGCGGACGCAAGCCGCCACTGGTCCCGCCGCCGAGTCCCGTCGCGGCGGCCACGTCTCCAAGGGCGACCACGCAGGGAGTGGCGGGAGGCGCCGCCGTCACCCCGCCGGCGGCCTCGCGGCCAGCTTCCGCAGGCGATCACAGAGCTGCAGACGGGTCAGGTCGCCCTGGCGGTGCAGCCAGCGTTGTGGAAGTCGATTAATGCGGAGGAAGCATGCTGCGAAATAGCAATTTCCAGATGCCTAAACATGTTTGAAACATGTTTGTTATATAAACATGTCGGACACATTTCTGGAGCATGTTTTTTACACATGTTTTAAACACATCTTTAGTTCAACGATGGGACTGTTAGGGTGTCCATTGTCGTGGCATCCGCAAAGCTAGCGCAGCTCACGACGCCGCTCCGCGCGCCCCAGACGACGCTGCCGAGGACGGCAGCACGGGCAGCCCCGCCGCCCACAGCGCTGCAGCCCAGAGCGCAGCCGCCGCCGAGGCTCGCGGCGAGGACGGGGCGCCTCCCCCTCTGTCGCGGTCGGGGCTGCAGCAGATAGGGGGGCAGCCGCGGGTTCGGCCAGCGAGGGCGCGGCCACGGCCCTCCTCCTCCCTCCTCCTCCCTCCTCCCCCCCTCCTCCCCCTCCCCCCCCTCCCCCTCCTCCCCCCTCCTCCCCCCTCCTCCCATTAGCCTGTGATGTTCGCTCGCATCGCCGCGGCCGACGGGGCCGACCAGGACATCTCTCAGGATCTGTGCGCTGCAGGGCCGGTGCCTGTGGACCACCCTGAACGCCCGCTCCGGCTTCAGGAGGCTGCTGATGCTCACCGTTGTCGCAGGCCTAGAGGTTGACACCAACACCAATTTCGTCGGTGTGCAAACACCAAGGGAAAAAGATCCCGATCCCGGTGATGGTGGTAATATTCTGGCTTCCAAGGTGGCCCAAATATTACCACCAACACCGAAATCTAGGATCATCTTCCCCTTGTGGAGGAAACCCCTGTGTTGGTGTTGGTGCCCATTTCCAGGCCTCCAACGTTGTTCGTGTATGTGGTGCACGGTGCACGTCTCATGCCTTCATTGCTACTGGCCTAGGGCAGCACACTTTTCGGCGCCATCCCTCGCTCATTCACCAGATCCGTTGGACGTCAGGCCCCACCACCACCACTCGGTGCTCGATGCGTATGATGCTGTCCGCTAGTCGAAGGGCGTTGTGTGAGCATCTTGCGTTTGATGCCCCACGTTGTACGGGTGCTCTACTAGCTCGGCCTCGTGTAGCCACTGCTTCGGAATGTGAAGCGTTCAGTGCTGCGCTGCCCGGCATCGTGCTGCGGGAAAGGGTAGGTGGCGTCCTGGATTCCCCTGTTTTCGTCAGCCTTGGCCCCGCGCATCCTTTGAGTTGGAACTTGCTACCGTAATTGAAGGTGATGCTCGGGAGGTCCTCACTGAGTCTGACTATGCCTTTTCACCCGAGGCTGCCTAAGTCTTCAGTAGTTTATCCAGGCGCGGTCCTGAGTTGACCCCCCGCCGCCGGATGATAAGTTTTGGCTGTTCCGTCCACGGGATTTCTCTGGGATTGCGGCCGTGGCGCTGCTGCTTAGGATGAATCGACCCGAGTTTTCTTTGCTAAGCTTGTTTTCGGGGATGAGGCGTACTAGAGACATTCAGTGGCATTTGGAATTCGCGTGGCCCGCTTCTGTTTGTGCTGTCCGTGGCTTTTCGGTCGACGTTGCGATCGACGCGGGCCGAGGCAGTTCCACACAGCTTGTTGTCATCCTGGAATGGGTCGGACATGTCGCTGCCAGAGTGGTTTTAACACCGGCTGGGAGGGGCCCGGTGAGACGTGGTGCGCTGCTCGGTGGTGCGGCGGGGGGCCCCCCCGATTGCACACGGAAGAGCAGTCCCGTGGTGCGCGGGCTGCCGGAGGCTCCCGGTTGTCTGTTGGGGCCCAGCTGTCAGCAGCGCCTGCTCGCCTCAGGCTGGCCCGAGGGGGTGGACGGAGCACCCGCTGCCCGCGCACTGGATCCTTGGGGCCCGACCTCGTTCAGGTGGAAGCCTCTTGTGGCCATCGCGTCGGCGCCGCATTCATGTGCAGTGGACTCCGACCACTGCGAGCATCTTCCCTCCACGACCGACTGGCTTACCGTCGGTCGAGCTCCCACACGCCTCCGCGGCCTCCGCATGCCGTCTGTTCGCCCCCACCACCTCTCCATTCCGGGTGGGGGTAAATGCTCCCGCGGGCGATGCGTACATTGTGCTTTTCTCCGCAAAAATGATCATGTTGTTGTTGCTGCTGTTGTTGTTGTGTTTGTTGTGCTGGTGGCGCTTGTTGTTGTTGCTGTTGTTGTTGTTGTTGTTGTTGTTGTTGTTGTTGTTGTTGTTGTTGTTGTTGTTGTTGTTGTTATTGCTGCTGTTGTTGGTGGTGGTGCTGTTGTTGCTGTTGCTGCTGTTGTTGCTGTTGTTGTTATGGATGTCTTCCAGAAGGCGTATTCTAGTGGTTTGTCCATGCTGCGGCGGTGCTGGATAGTGTCATTGAATTTGTGTTGCCGCCTCAGTCCGGAACATATTTGAACTTCGGTTTCGGTGCCGACCCTGAGGTGCTGCGTGCGGGATTGATGGCATTCTATGTGCCATGGTCAGAGGCTGCAGATCCTAAGTTTCGTGCCGCCCCCCGATTCTGCTCGTCGATCCAGTCGTCGTTGCGTCGATCCTGAGCTTGAGCGATTCGGGTTTTGGCCGTGCCAACAGAATTCAGACCTCTCGGAGGCTACCTCGAGTGCCTCCCCAGATGGTTCGGCCTCCTCTAGGACCAGATCAGCAGAAGCCTTGATCAGAGGGAGCAAGGCCTCGGGATCGAGGCCTCCGAGGAGCAAGAACATATCGATCAGATGCGTGCTGAGGCCGAGAATTTCTTTGCCCCGTCGGGGACCCCTGGTCCTCCGCCCGCTCCTCCACCTCCCCCCCGCCTCCCCCTCTCTCTCGGAGCTTCTGGAGCGAATTCCATCGACTCGTGCCCAGGACCGCGAGGAGCGCAGGAGCGCTCGGCCCAAGGCCGCCCACGCCTCTATTTCGCCCAGCCCTGCACCCAGCGGGGTGCTACCAGGCGGGATCTCCTCTTCCGCCCCCGCCTCCCGTCCTCTGGGGCTTGCTGTTCAGAGTAGTCGTGCAGTTGCTACCGAGTTGTTGTTGGCCTCGTCTGCTGCTGCTGCTGCTGCTGCTGCTGCTGCTGCTGCTGCTGCTGTTGGCGGGCAGAGTGCCATGGGATGCGCACGCGCGAAGCCCCTCGGCTAACAATAACAACCTCCTTGTCCTCCTCCTCCTCCTCCTCCTTCTCCTACCTCCTCCTTGTCCTCCTCCTCCTCCTCCTCCTTCTCCTCCTCCTCCAACCTCTCCCCTCTTCCTTTTCCTCTTCCCCCCTCGTCCTCCTCGTCTGCCTCCCCGGGGCCCCTCTGGTCTTCGGACATCCCTGGAGGTTTCTGGCAGTCCCTGGAGGCCGGCAGGTGCCGCCAGAGGCTTCTAGAAACCCAAAGAGGGCTGAACGAGTGGGAAAGCTTCGTCTCGTTCCCCCGTCCACAGGTGGAGTACTTGGACGAGGAAGAGACAGATTGACCGGGCTGCCGCGGCGTCGCGGGCGCGAGCGGACCCGCGTGCGCGCGCCGGAGACCCGCTGGGCGGCGCGCCCGCGTGAGTGGCGCGCGACGGCTCTGGTTGGGCTGTCTTGGCACCTTAGGGTCTTCTCTCGAGGGGGCACCTCGCACTTTGGAGCCCGGAGGGCACCAGAGCGAGCGTTTGTGCTTCCATGTTCGGGGGCCCCAGCTGTGCGAGGCTGCACGGCCGCAGAGCCCTGTCCGTGGCGGGGGCTGCGGTGGAGTTATTTTGGGACCCTGTCGTAAACTGCTGAGGCGCTCGTGGGGGCCTCTTGGCGCATCCTTGGATGCCCTGTGGCCCTTCTTGTAGGCCATCGAGCAGAGAGGAGCGCGGTTGAACTTAGCCGCCCACCGTCGGACGGAGCCCGAAGGATCACCTCTCGGGGCCCTCTCGTGGCGCTCTTGAATGATTTTGGTGCCGTCTTGGAGGCATCCCCTCTTGGGGCCCTCTTGGGCGATCTTGGAGCCATCCTGGGGCTTCAGAAGCCCATCAGAAACGAAAGGTGAGAAAACCAAACTCATTTAGAAACCGTAGGCGCTTGAAGGATTTTGGCATCTCGTTGGCATCCTTGAAAGGCTCCTTGGTCAATCGGAGCCTTCTTGGGGCAGTCTTCGAACCTCTTGGAGGCATTCTGGAGGCAATCTAGGGCTCTCTTGTGCCATCCTGGATGACGACCATCATATATGCATAGGTCCGGGACTGACGCAACCTGAGTCCTGGAAAAAGGATCGGGAAGTCTGGGCGCCACGTCTTGACCATGGCACGACGCCAGTTGTATAGGGGCACCATGAGCTCACTCTCCCTCTCTCTCTCTCTCTTTCTCTCTCTCTCTCTTTGTGTTTCCCCTTCCCTCTCTCACTCTCGCTTTGTTTCTTTCTCTCTCTCTCTCTCTCTTTCGTGTCTCTCTCTCTCTCTCTCTCTTTCTCTGTCTGTATATATGTAGATGTGTACCGATGTCGATTATCTCCGTCTCTCTGTATATACATATACATATATCGATTTATGCCGGGTCTACTCATGTGTATCTATATACATATACATATATATATATATACACATATATATATACATATATATATATATATACGTTGTAATGCATATCCTTGGGCAGGTTGTGATGCAGGTCATTCGCAGCGCGGAGGTGGGTCAGCGGAGGGTCTGGTTTCTAGCAGGGTGCCTGCTCACCCCCTCGCTGGACTGCAGAGCCCGCTCTCTTCCCCCCTGCCTCTCGCTGCACGCGTCAGGCCTTGGACCCCCTGAAGCAGCGGCAGGCGATGCTGTCGGAGGCTCGCACCTCCAAGACTCTGGCGTCTCACGAGCGCGCGGACCCTTCCCCTGGAGATGGGAGGGGAAGGCCATGCAACAAGAGGAGCGGAGGCCGGTGCGAGTGCTCAGGGGGCTCTGGAGCCTCGAGCAGGCTCTCCTCAGACCTCCGACGCCGTGCACTCCGATGGCAGAGCTGGCCGGCCGCCGTCCTGCGGACCGTCGTGTGGACAGTCCTGCGGCTTGTCCTGCGGATATGTCCTGTGGGGACCTCCAGAGCCGCGGGCCCGTCGTCCGCGCCCCCGGGGTCGGAGCGGTGGTGGCGTGCCGGCCCCGGATCGGGCGAGATTCCTGGGGGAGCGGGGGCATCTGCTCTGGAGGGGGCAATCATGGACCCCGCCTTTTGGATCCGCTGCGGGGGGGTGGGGGGTTGGCATTGGGCACGTGCGGTCTGAACGGGTGGAAGGGGGGGGGTTAGAGGAGGAGGAGGAGGAGGAGGAGGAGGAGGAGGAGGAGGAGGAGGAGGAGGAGGAGGAGGAGGAGGAGGAGGGGAGATCACGAGGGGGAGGAGGAGGGAGGGGGGCGGGATTGGGCTGGCCGGTCAGCAGGTTATGGTCACCCCTCTCGTGACGAGTGACCCTTCCAGAGTGAGCGGCGGCGCGCTCTGCGCGGGGGGGCCCGGTCTTCTGAGGGGGCAGTTTGCCTTCTCAGAGGAGGGAGGGATTGTTTGGTGGATTGCGCAACTGTCGGGGGCGGAAAAGAGGGGGGTGATGACTAGGGGGGGGGGGATATCATTGCGGGGGTCATGATATTTCCCCAGATTTCATGGCGCGTCTTCTTATTTCATTACGTCCCTGGCCCCCCCGCTGGGCCGCGCACATGCCGCCGGTCATGATTTGCACCCCCCCCTCTTGGACACCCCCCTCTTGGCCGCTCCCGAAACCGATTCAGCAATTCGCTGGTCAGGTGAGTGGCGGCGCTCGCAGCAATAGACTATCAGCATCGGCACCAAGGGAAAGTAGCCCAGGGGGGTGGAAAATGCAGCACACTGCTGCACGCCGCAGGTCAGGAGGCAGCAACAAGGGACGGAGGGAGGGAGGGAGGGAGCGAGGGAGAGGGAGGGAGCAAGCAAGACTGGGACTGCCAGCAGTGATGGGAGAGCACGCCCCCCCCCCCCTGGCCAGAGGGGGCGCACACCCTGGAAGCCCTGGTGCCCTCCAAGAGAGGAGGAGGCCTCCTGAGCTGAGCTACGGCCCCTCCTCGGCAGACAGGGGTCCTCCTGGGGGGACAGGAGGCCACAGAGAAGGAGAACAGCAAGGGACAGGGAGGATGAAACGGTCCCGCCTATGATGAAGAAGCCTCCCCCCGAAAAGCTGGCCCAGCGTCTCTTAACCCACTTGCCGGAAAGCTGGCTCAGTTTCTTAAGGGGATCGGTAGCCTTGGATCCTAGAAATGAACAGCGCACGTTCCTGGCTCCAAGTGCTGGCCCGGCGTTTCCTTACGAAACTTTTGAAAAGCTGGCAAGGGACCAGGGAGGATGATAACCAGGCGATCGCACACATGGATGACAGGGGGCGTGGACCAGCGACGGGTCCCGTTCCCATGGGAAGTGGCGGATTCTGCTCGCCGAACGGGGCGGCACCCGCCGCATTTTTTGGGGAGGGCACCTCGCACGACCCATGGATCCGGCGACCGCGCGCCAAGCCCACGGATCGATGATCGCCAATCCATGCTTGCGCGCCCCCGAGACAATCGGGCCGGGCGAAAGGGGGGGATTGGGAAAGGTGGGGTTACGAAATTTGCTGCATGCAGCTGGTTTCGGCCTCGCCGAGGAGCCCATTCCTCGATACATAAGCCGCCTCCGGCGCCGGGAGGCGCCGGGAAAGTCAGCTACGTGAGCTGATTCTCCCCCCCCCCTTTGCTATCCACCCCTTTCGCCCGACCCGAGACAGGGGGGCCTCCTCCGAGGAGCATCTTCGAGGCTTCTCGGGGTCTCTCTGCGCTCCGTTTTTGGGGGCCTTTTTGTAGGGGAACAAAAAGTTTACCAGTTTGAAACATATCCCTATCCCTATGTTTGACATCACCTCACCTCGATGCCGATCTTAAGGATTCCCTCAGTTTCTGAGGGCCTATCCCTAAGATTGTCCTCGCCTTTTGCTCGCCCATCTCAGGGACAGGGATAAGTTCGAGGCTGGTTAACAGTTGCATGAACATAAAAACTCGGAAGTCCGCGCGGATTTCTCGGATCGGCGCTGGGGCCCCCCGGCGGCGCCTCTGGCGCCGCCCCGGGCGCGCTCCGCGCGCCAGGGAGGGGGGTCCAGCGCCGATCCGAGAAATCCGCGCGGACCTCCGAGCTTTTACGTTTGTGCCACTTCTTGTTCCCCTCTTTGGTCGGGCCTCGGGGGGTGCCTCCTCGGGATCCCCTCGGCTCCCTTCCGAGAAGAAGGCCCCATGCCCTCTCCGAAGGTCCGCGGCGCCCCCCGCCCCGGGAGCGCGCCGCCCCAGGAGCGGGAGCCAGGGGGAAGGGGGCGAGAGGGGTGGCGTGTCCGCGGGTACGCTGTCAGGATGGGAAAACACACACAGACACAGTGCAGCGTCGACCCCCGGGAAGATATGTGGGAAGACATGGGGAGGGGGGGGGGAGGACGAACAACTCCTGAAAGCGGGGAACATGCAGGGAGTCCTGGGATTTGTGTGTATTTATTTGTGTGTCCTTGGGCCCCTTGACACTTCGCAGTGAGACTGTTGTGGTGGTGCCACACAGGATCACTGACAAGGCGCTGCTCTCCTGCGAGTTTCCAATATTTCCCTACCTAGGCTCTGCCTAGAAGGGTTCTTACTCTCTTGGCTGAAAGGGCCGGGCAGTGGGAACCGGCTCGGGCGGTTCCCCCAGTATCCGCCCCGCGGTTCCCCCAGTTACGTCCCCTTAGCTTAGCGTTGCTTATCTCATCTTAGCTTAGCTTATGTCATCTTAGCTTAGCTTAGCTTCATCTTAGCTCAGGTTTATCTTGGCTTAGCTTACCTTCATCTTAGCTTCACTGAGCTTTTGCATAGCAGAGCACAGCATAACATAGCATAGCGTATCATAGCATAGCGCAGCATATCATATAATATCATAGCCCAACATAGCATGACACAACGCAGCATATCATAGCATAGCATAGCATATCATAGCATAGCATAGCGCAGCACAGCACAGCACAGCATAGCACAGCGCAGCATATCATACCATAGCATAGCATAGCATAGCATATCATAGCATCGCATATAATCTCATAGCTTAGCATATCATGTATATGTAGATGTATATGTAGATGTAGATGTATATGTAGATGTAGATGTGAGTCTCGCTGTTGATGTTGATGTAGATGTATATGCAGGTGTAGACGTTAATGTAGCTGTCGATGTAGATGTAGATGTTGCGTTCCTAGATGTTTCAACTCCTAGGTAGGGTCGCACTGGGATAATTGTCTGGACTTAGTCTGTCGGGTGTCCCTCCACATCTGGCTGTTCTGCTCGAGTGCTCGTGCGGCTATGCTTGGAGTATCGGCGAATCCAGAAGCGAACAGGTCTAGAATCGTCCCACCGTGACCTCAGGACGCTTCGCGATTCGGGACCCTTCCACTGAGGACCTCGCCCCCGAACTCCTTGGACTAGAAGGGGGAGGGGCGGAGGGTGGTCAGGTGTTGTCAGGCCAGGGCATCTGTTGGCAGCTCTTGTGCTCTCGACCTTCGCTGTCAGAGTGCTCGCTCGCAGGGGCAAGGGTCCAGGATCTATGGCGGCGCCTGGATTCATCGCACGAGGAAAGGGAGCGGAGGGGATGAACGGGCGGGGGTAGAGGTCAGGCCGTACACTCGGGGGATAGTAGGTTTCGCCGCCGCCCCAGATCCTGACACGTGGACGTCCCCAGAGGTGGTTCCCGGAGGCCTCGGGACTGAGGCATGCGGCCCGACACGGGCCAGAAACTGCCGAACACATCTCCCCTCGGTCTTGGTCGAGGGCAAGCCTTGGCACTCGGGGTCGGGTGCGCTGTTCCCGCGAGCCCTGCCGGGACCTGGCGCCTCGGCCAGGGCGCCCCGGAATTGTGACTCATCCAGCGCTTGCCCCCTGGACCTCGTCCCCGGCTCCCCCGCTGCGCTCCTACCGTCGATGGCCGTGGGAGCGCAGAGGGAGAGCGAGGAGGAGAGGATCGAGCATCGAGGACCCCTGTCGTCGGCACCCTGGCGCTGGGGGTGCTGTGGAACGCTTCTGGAGGCTCCCGCCGCCCAGGCTGGATGCGGCTCGGCAGGCCGGTCAGGATGGGCCTTGGAGGGGTCCAGGGGGCTCGGGAGGAGGAGGAGGAGGAGGAGGAGGAGGAGGAGGAGGAGGAGGAGGAGGAGGAGGAGGAGGAGGAGGAGGAGGAGGAGGAGGAGGCGAGGAGGAGGAGGAGGGGGGGAGGGGGAGGATCGAGCTGCTTCCCTGGCCTCCGAAGGCCTCGGGGGACCTCGTGGGCTCCGGGCGCAGCGGCCCTCGCGCACGATCGCCGCCGCCAGGCCCCGACGTTCTCGGGCGAGGACGTGAAGTTTATCACCGGGGAGCCCCGGGGCCCTGCTCCTCTCCCCGCCTCGGCCGCGGCAACACAACCAGCCACACTCTGTTGCCGCCACTTTTGCCAGCATGCGTCAGACGCCAGGGCTGGATCACGGCGCCTCGAGCAGCGCGGCTGGATGTTGCTGAGGGGTTTTCAAACATCTAGCAGGGGGGGGTAGCAGGTCAGTATTGTTTCACCGATCCCCATCCCCATCCCCATCCCCTTCGAGACCCCCACCAGATTGCCACCCCAGCTGGGGAGACGCCCCTCGAAACCGGAAGGGAACGGCCTGTATCCCCATCTATGGGGCTAAATCGGCCAGTGGGGCCCAGGCCACGCCGCTGGGGATGGGGATCGGTGCAGCGATACTCATTGCTCATTCCTGATTCTTCGACAGTTTTTCGATTTTTTGGGGGGCCGAGATCCTTTCATTTCTAGTTGCTCCATCCTGGGCCTCTGCCTGGCCACCAGGGCACCAGGAGCCATTGGAAACGAGCACCATCAGAAACGAGCACGACCAGAAAGGAACGAGCACACTTAGAAACGAGAAGCCCGAAGGGAACGGCCTGTGTTATCCCCATCCAGGGGGCTACATCGGCCAGTGGAGCCCAGGCCACGCGCCGCTGGGGATGGGGATCGGTGAAGCGATGCTCGGCACGGGGGAGTCGGTCGTGGCCCGTCGCACGCGCGGGCACGCGCGGGCACGCTCGCGAGCCTCTCCCGCAGCCGCGGGGCGCCACGCCGCGCTTGCCCGCTGGCCCGCAGACGGGGTGTGCAAAGACCGGAAACACGGGGCCGTTTTTTTACCGGTTCCGTTGTGCCGTTTCTTCGCTAGTCCCGACGCCGTTTTTTTACCTGTTCCGTCGCCGTTCTTTGGCCGGTTCCAGCTCCGGTTCCAATCCTGGAGCCGTTTTTGTTGCCGTTTCCGGTCGCCGTTTTTTTTGGGGCCGTTTCCATTTTCAGGGGGCATTTGTTTGGAAACGGTGAAAAAACGGCCTGCCGTTTCCGGGGCTCACAAAGGGCCTGTCCCTCTTCAGGAGGAGGATTCAAACATAATCAAAAGAATAGTCTGGGGACCATTTTTTGATTATTTTTTGGCCATGTTTGGATATTTTTAGCGTGTCTTTTATTGTTCGTCGAACATCCGCCTGTAGGGGGACATGCCCGACCTAAAGGGAGGCCAGCCGAGAAAAATCGGCGGGGATCTCCCGCCCAGCCCGGATCCGCTCAAGATGGGTTCGCGGACCCCGTCCTGGGGTCCATGCCGATCTGTTTTTCGACGCGGAGCGGTGGCCACGTGTGAACCTTACCCCCCCCCCCATGACCCCACGGCTTCTAAGGGGCGGGTGGGGGTTCACTTCGTTCTGGAGGTCCCGAGCGGAGTGACCCCCCCCCTCAGAAATATGTCGGGCCTGTCCCTCTACAGGGGGAATATTCAGAAATAGTAAAACATAGTCGGTTTTTTATATAAAAGAATAATAACATGTGTGTGTGTATATATATATATATGTATTAAGAATACAGCAAGCTATTTGGGGGCATGTTTTGAGTATTTGCAGCTTTTTTTTTCTTGGTGAACCAATAGAAAAATCGTCGAACATCCCCCTGTGGTGGGACAGGCCCGACCTAAGGGCAGGGCTCACACGTGGCCGCCCAGCGGCCCCGGCCGCGGCGACGAGACGCCTCCAACGGGAGGCCCGCAGAAGGACGAACGGCAGCTCCGAGGGATTGGCCGCCCCGGTTGGCCCTCGGGATGCCGGGGGGTCCAAAACCTTCGGGGGCGGAAAAGAGGGGGGTGATGACTCAGAGCCCCGAATCATCAGGGGTAACTCGGGTCAGGGATAACTCGGGTTCGTTGTTCGGGAATCCAAACCCGAGTTACCCCGGACACGAGTTACCCCGGATAACTCGGGCGTCCAGAGCCCCGAATCATCAGGGGTAACTCGGGTCAGGGCTAACTCGGGTTCCTTTTTCTGGAATCCAAACCCGACTTACCCCGGACCCGAGTTACCCCGGATAACTCGGGCGCCCAAATGACTAGGGGGGGGTGGATATCATGGCGGGGGCCATGCTATCTCCCCAGATCTCCTGGCGCCTCTGCTTATCTCATGGCGTCCCTGGCCCCCCCGCTGGGCCGCGCACATGCCGCCGGTCATGATTTGCACCCCCCCTCCTCTTGGACACCCCCCCCTTGGCCGCTCCCGAAAAACCTGGCCACTTTTGCCGACGGCCTGGAAGCATGCCAGCAGCCTGGAGGGCGCGCGGTGGTCACGGGAGCCTCATGTGGGGCTGCGTCTGATTTTTCTAGAGACCTTGGGCTCCTTTTTGGCCCCGGAGGCCGCTCTGGCTGTGGACTTTCCGGCTGCACACGCAGGGCTCTGCCTGGTGCTTTGCATCGCCCCCCGATGCCCGATGCATCAAAACAAGGGGCGCAATTTCCAGACCGATCGAGCCCGCGGCATCCATCCTCCTCACGGGTGATGAGGATGCGACTGATTTTGCTAGGGCGATCTTTAATGAAACAGATACCATTCGAGCGAGTGCATGCTGAGTGCTTTCCTCGATGGTGTTCTTCTTCGCAGGGGGTTGGTGAATTCACCAGGGGGCTGAGGGCGCGCGCCACGTCATCATCCCAGCCCGTGCGTGGGGGGGCGGCCTGCAGGTTTTGCCCGAATGTTTCGGCCATCGGACTTGACATCTAGGGAAAGTCGGTTGCGGCTGCCAGTTCCCTGGACTTTGAGCGTGAGATCTCCCGTGCTGTTGCTAAAGAGTCCGAGGGGCGCTCCGGCAAGAAGCCATCCATTACGGTTGTCGACTTCTGGCTTGATCGAGGATTTGGCCGAAGGTTTCATACCAAACACGGCCAAATTGTCGCTACGAATGTCAAGCAGTTGCACAAAGTCAAGCGGATTCCAAGGTCGGGCGTTTGCGCGGTGCCGTGCCAGGTATTTTCTAAATCTTTCCTGTCCCCAGGTTCCAGTACGGGGCCCAGGCCTATGGCGTGGCGCCCTCGGTGGTTATCCGCACTCAGTCTGCTATATGGGCGGTCCTCGGGGGGCCCAAGGAAGGCTCGTGTGTGACCACGTACCTTGCTCTGAAGTTAGGCCAGTCCATGCCTGCAGTGGAGCTTGTGCTGCGCCACTTCGTGAGCTTTTCCGAGCTCACCGCCGCATGGAAGAACATCCATGCGTCCAGAAGAGCATGGAAACTCAACCCAGCCGTGTAAGCACAAGCCAGCCAAACAAGCAAAAACCTGTCATCGTTTGCGTAAGGGTTGTTTGGTTTTTTAATGCACATCGTAAGACTCAGAGTCGAGAAGCGTGCTCTTGAGCTCATGCGTTGGCCCAAGGTGGCCCAGAAGCTCATGCGCGCCAAGAATATAGCCGTGGGTGGGCCAGGGTCCGGGGGCCCATCTCGAGTTCCTGGCAGTGATCTTGACCACGGCTGGCTCCCGCAGGACCCACAGAGACGAGAGTATCTGGCCCCTACGGGCAGTGTCTGGAGGCTGGAGCTTCCAGGTCACGCTTCCGTTGACTTTGAACCTTCTGGGCGAGAGGTTGTCTTGGCGGTCTGGGCCAGGTTGTGGCGTCGCTTGGTGGTTGTCCACGACAAGGAGGGGGGGGGGGGGCGAGGGCGGCATCGATACGTACTCGATGTGCAAGTGGTTCTCCACCCTAGATCGTAAGGCCTCCCAGCAGGCCCTCAGGCTCCGAGATTCTCTGGTTGCGGTGGCCACGGCCGCAACCTGTTCTAGGGGCAGGATGCTCGAAGCAGGCATGATCGAAAGGCGCAGGCCTTTCGCCAGCGGTGCCCTGCCCAAGTGGTGGAAACAGACTAACAGACTTTCACCGAGTGTGGGGTTGCGCATCGAACGAGATGCTCCGTAAATGTTGTGACACAGCGGACCTCGAGGCCCGTGCGAGCGACGGAAGGGGTACCTGCCCCGTGTTCTGGCTGCAAGGGCTCATACCGGCGTCTTGGACCGAGGGCACCCCACCATCCGAGGACCACGGGAATGGTCCTGATGCCGAAGATAGCGGACCATGTAGTGGGACGGAGTGATGTGGGCGGGGGACGGGTCGGGGGTACGGTAGTATCAGGACCTTCGGCTTCGCCTTTGTTCTTGGCGGTGCTGCACGCTGACGAAGGCGTGCTCGAGTTTGACCCGGACCCAGGTCCAGGAGGTTCAGGGCTGGGTTGGAGGCCTGCCAGGGCCGATGCAGTCTATCAATCGTGCCGAGCTCTTGGCGCCAGTGTGCTGGGTGGTAATCTGCGCCACCTCTGATAGATCCTTGAGTTTCAACAGAGATTCTAGTCATGCTGTGGGTGGGGTCGGTCTAGACGCCCTCGGACTGATCGGGACCTCTGGCGGTAACTTCGGGAGATCCTCAGACCTCGGGGAGGCGCAGCTGGTCGCTCATAAGGTGGTGTCCCACGCGTCATATTTCTAGGTTTCTTAGAGCTCGAGAGGCAGGCCAATAATATGGTCGATCGTCACGCTGAGGCTGCCGCCCACAAGTTTTGTCAGAAACGGAGGTCGGTAAGGTTCGCGAGGTGGTGCGCCTTGCAAGTAGTCCGAAGGAGGCAGGCGGCCGTGCTTGAGGAGTGTGCTCGTTGTGACCATCGTGGCCCTTGCATTGCAGGGTCTTGCACACGCCGCCCAGATCGAAGTTTGCTCGAGCAAGCAAGTTCGATCCTTACATTGCCATGCGAGCACACGACGTCGTGCGGCCAAAGGGCCGCGGGGGGGAAGGAGGGCTCTCGAACCTCGTGCCGCCGCTGCCTGGAGAGCCGCGGGCGAACCCGCCAGGAGGTTCCTGTGTGGCTGGCGTCTCGGCGTGTGCTTGCTCGGGCCGGGATCTCGGAGAACTCGTTTCCTGTGCCGCCTGGCACGCGTGCCGCGGACAGGGTGATCCACCCGAGCCGTGCCGCGCGCGCGCGCCCCACTGCCAGGCTTCGACCACACGTAAGAGTGGCCCTTGGCCGGAGTGACCTCTGGTGCGGGCTCACGGGGGTCCCGCCGATCACTGAGCGCGCTGCGATAGTGGCTGCCTGCGCGCTCGGAGTCGGCCACCGCGCGCCCCGTGAGTCCGCGCACGACAAGGGTCACTCTTGCCAAGGGTCACTCTTGCGTGTAGCCGAAGGTTCCTGTGTTCTCGTGTTCCGCTTGCAGGCTGTGCCCGGCCCGCGACACCGGAGTCCTCCGCGGTCTGGCGGAGGAGTGTTCTCCCGCCTTTGCAGCTGGGCGCCAGCAAACTTCGGCTGCTCGAGAGAGGGGTGTGGCCACCTCCTCCTCCTCCTCCTCCTCCTCCTCCTCCTCCTCCTCCTCCTCCTCCTCCTCCTCCTCCCCCTCCTCCCCCTCCTCCCCCTCCTCCCTCTCCTCCCTCCCCCTCCTCCTCCTCCTCCTCCTCCTCCTCCTCCTCCTCCCTCCTCCTCCTCCTCCTCCTCCTCCTCCTCTTCCAAGGCGGCGAAGGACTTCCACATGGCCCCCGGCCGTCAAGCTCGTGCCGCTTGCCCCACGAGCAATCGCCTTCACCTTCTCCGCCGCACCCCACCGGACACGCTGCGCCCACACCGCCGCTGGGGTCGAGTCTTGATTATGTTGGGCTCTTCTTCTTCGCTGTGCCCCTCCCCACCTCAGCTGCCTCGATACGCCCGTTTTTGTACGCAACGCGTCCCGTGTTCAAGACGTCCGTGTCAATACGCTGCGTGCTGGCTCCACGTATTGGACCCCGTTTGGGCGAAGGTATCGCGTCGGACCTGCGTTTTCAGCCTACGTGTTGAGCTCGGTATCCATACGCCACGTGCTGCGCGTTGCGCATCGGGGCAGCTGAGCGCCCCACATCTCCGACGCGATCCTCTCGCAGCGTGCTCGCCCCAGGTGTGCAGACCGCCCCCCCCCCCCCCCCGGGGGTTAGCTTTGCACCCCGAGCCGTCTTCGACGGTCCCAGGGCTCGGTGGGAGCCGCCCAGAGAACTTGAAGCCAGCCGAGAGCCTTTCGTCGTGGCTCTCTCTCTCTCCAGGGTCCTCCTCCTCGGTCGCCCCCCCCTCCTCCTCGGTCGCCCCCCCTCTCCTCGGTCGCCCTCCTCCTCCTCCTCGGTCGCCCCCTTCCTCGGTCGCCCTCCCCTCTCCCCGGTCGCCACCCCTTCCTGGGCCCCCCTCCTCGGTCGCCCCCCCTCTCTCCTCTGGCGCGCCCGCGGAGAAGCCCAACCCCGACCGGGGCAGCCAGCAGTCCGGCTCGCAGGGCAACACCAGGGAGCTCAAGGACCCTCGCCGGGGGTTGGCCCGTCTGGGGTCGTCGTCGTCGTCGTCGTCGTCGTCGTCGTCGTCGTCGTCGTCGTCGTCGTAGGAGGAGGAGGAGGAGGAGGAGGAGGAGGAGGAGGAGGAGGAGGTTGGGGAGGAGAGCAGGCGGATGAGAGGGACCAGAGCAAACCCAATATGCATCAGCGATGCTGCAATACCCTTCCGTCCCAAGTCTCCTCCTCATGCGTCCCTACGGGCTCTCCTTCTAACTGCACGAGGCGCCTTCCGATGAGAGACCGGCACTATACGGACAGCATGCAGTCGCGCTCTTGGAGCCTCTTGGGGGCATCTTGGGGCCACTGGGGCCCCATTTGGGGCCATTTGAAACGCCTTGGAGGCTCTCTTCGGGCCCTCTAGGGGACCTACTGGGCTCTTTGGGGGCCCTCTTGGGGGTATCTTGGGGCCCTCTTGGGGTCCTTTGGGGTCTCTTGGGGGCCTCGGGGTCTCTTGGGGGCCTTGGGGCCTCTTGGGGCCTCTTGGGTGCCATCGAGCAAAGAAGGGGAGATTCCTAGTTACGCCCCCCCGACCCTGTCGGAGGCCGAGCAGTTGCCTCTTCGGGGGCTCTTAGGCTCCTCTTGGGGCTCTCTTGGCCCATTTTGGAGACATCTTGATGCCTCAAGAGCCCATCAGAAACGAAAGGGAGAGAATCCAACAAACATTAATTGTCGTCAGGTTTTGGAAGGATTTGGGCCTCTCGGGATGGTCCTTGGGAGGCACCGTGGCCACTCGGAGCCGTCTTGGGACGGCCATGGCGCCTCTTAGAGACATGTTGGAAGCTATGTTGAGCCATCTTGGGTTATCTTGTACGATCTTGGAGGCCCTCTTTGGGCAATATGGTTCCCTCTAATGGCCATCTTTGGTCATCTTGGACGCTCTGACCGCTCGCGACCTGGCCCGCCCAGACCCAGGGGGAGAGGGGTCAAGCTACCCTAAACCGAACTCTTTTTTCCATCCGCATCTTCATCACAAACACCAGAACCCTCTTCATCATCATCATCATCATCATCATCATCATCATCATCATCATCATCATCATCATCATCATCATCATCATCATCATCATCATCATCATCATCATCATTGTTATTATTATCATCATCATCATCAGCACCACCATCATCATCATCATCATCATCATCATCATCATTATCATCATCATCATCACCGTCATCATCATCACCGTCATCATCATCACCATCATCATAGTCATCATCATCGTCTCCATCATCATCATCATAATTGTCATGCCGGCTGTCACCAGCACCAGCAACCTCATCATCATAATCAGCATCATCAGTGTCGCCTTCATCAGCATTATTACCTTCACAATTATCATCACCATCATCATCATCATCATCATCACCATCATCATCATCATCTTCATCATCACAGGCATCATAGGCCACCAGTGACATTACCCACTAACATCATCATCATCATCATCATCATCATCATCATCATCATCATCATCATCATCATCATCATCATCATCATCATCATCATCATCATCATCATTACCGTCATCATCATCATCATCATCGACATCTGTAATATTGCATGGTTGCCACTACCTTTGTCGTTATCATTCTTGTGTTTCGTCTGATTCTGACTGCTGACCTTACTGTTACTGTGTTTGTGTTTCACAGTGATTGTACTCGTCTTAGTATTCACATTCGTATTTGTATGATTTGTAATATTACTAGCCTCAGTCTAGTACCCGTCGTCTTATTATTCGTATTGCTACCATCATTCGGATTCTTATTAGTATTGATCGTATGATTCTTACGGTCGGTATGACTGTCGATATCATTAAATATACATGTGTTACTACTACTACTCGTCATTGTTCAGTTCTCATTTTTTGCTTGATTAATATTATCATGTTTATCATTGGTGTCGTCATCAGCATCGTCACCACCATAT